CCCCCCCGGCCCCCCCCCCGGCCCCCCGCCCCGCCGTGGCCGCCGGCCTTCGCTTTCGGGGCGGATGTGAGTCCTCTTCGCCCGAGGAGGAAAACCGACGCCAGCGCCTGGCCGGCCAAGGAGCGGGGCTCCCGCGCCCACAGGAGAAAACTTCTTTTCCCTCGAGGTTTACAGAGTAAAGAATGTGCTGTTGTCCCGCCAACGTGTAACTTCCCCCGTCTCTCCCCCCGGCTTAGCCTCCTATGTCTGTTTTGCACGAAGTATAAAGAATTATAAGGAAGTATAAGGAATTAACCGCCCCCTGGCAGACTTCGGGCTGCTCTTTCCAACGGTGGGGCGCTTGCCGATCCCCAAAGTTACTCTGGAAATGCAAATTGCTTCCCCTGGGATTTGCGCTTAGCTGCCTGTAGGTCTCTGCCGGCTCCAGATTTTAGCTGCCGGGTCGCGCCTGCCGCTTAAGTTCAGCCTTCCTGACCTTCCCCGGGTTCAGAGGCCCCTTTCTTCGCTCCCGCCGGTCCGGTTATTTGGCGCTCTGGACTCGACCTCCTTTCTCTGGATTCTCTGAAGCTGTTCTCGGCCCGGAGTCTCTCACCCACTACATGCAGAATTTGCTCGTCATCTAAGTAACAGAACAGGTTTTCAGGCTGTGAGTGTGGTGTGCTTTTTTTTTTTTCTTGGTAAATTATTATTGCCCTTTTGCAAAAACGAGTCTGGCTTCCTCCCCTGAAGGTTGCAGGCAGGTGTAACTGCTCTTCTTTTCCCGAATTGATGCCTGAGGCATGAAGCTTTAACTTCCTTACGTGCTTCAGATTTTTTTTCTCTTTAAACTGGATGTGACCCTCTTGCAGAGGCCCTAAAGCTAGGCAGGTTTTGATCTGCAAATGCTGGCATTCCCACGTTTCCAGGACTTAGGTAAGGCAGTATATCTTGGTCAGTTAGTGATTATCTAACTTGGGGACAAAGAGGACAAGAGGTTTTCCTATTTAAATCAGATTTGCCACCTTTAGGTACAGTACTTGTGATTTGCAGAATAAACATAATGGCTGTGTTGAGTGGCTAAACCATAATACGGGTTGCTTTGTTTTGCTTAATGTGAACTCAGCCACTTGAGCAATTAAAGGAGAAGTGTTAATCTATGATAGCTAAAAATTCTTTCCTGGGTAATACATTTCATTAAAAGGCTACAGCTCACTTCATCAGATGCTGGTCTTTGACCATGATAAACAGCATTAGATTTGATTTGAATTGCAACAAAGAATTCCAAGCCAATTCATCAAGTTCAAATCCCAAATAATTCAAAAGGGCCTTTTTTGGAAACTTTCAAGATACTGCAATCTCCTTTGCTTGATATAAAGGTTTTTGTATAATATTAAAAAGATGCTCTTGATTTAAAGGAAACAGATAAACAATATTTATCATATGTTCTTAACAATGCTGTTTAGATCTATGCCCCTCCTGGCTTGTTAAAGCAGCCGGGGTGTGTGTCATATGAGTGGGTTCTAGCAGTGATAAATCCTTCTTTGAGTGAGGGGGTTGTTCCTTTATCTCTTAAGGAGGCTTTGGTTCACCCCCTCCTCAAGAAGCCATCACTGAACAATTATCTAACATCCCATTTTGGGGGAAGGTGGCCTCCTTTCTCTGGGGTCGATTCCAGTTAATAGGGATTGGGGGGGAGAGATTCCACCCTCAGGCCCTACTGTGTGGGGTGCGGCAGGGATCGGTGCTCTCTCTGCTCCTATTCAACATCTACATGAGGCTGCTGGGTAAGTTCATCTGTTGCCATGGGGTAAGGTATCATCAGTATGCTGATGATACCCAATTATACATTTCTGCCCCTGGTGAATTAAGTGATGCTGTGGATATCTTATCCTGGTACCTGGAGGCTGTGAGGGACTGGATGGGGAGCAACAGGCTTCAACTGAACCCTGGCAAGAGTGAGTGGTTTTGAGGTTTGGGACCTGCCAGTTCTAGGACTATGCCATCTTTGGTGTTGGATGGGATTGCACTGCCCCAAACAGAACCTGTGTGCAATTTGGGGGTCCTCCTCATGACTCCTGCTTGAAGAACAGATGGCAGTCATGGCTAGGAGGGCCTTTACACAACTTTGTATTGTGTGCCAGTTGTACCCGTTCCTAGATTGAAGGGCTCTACTCACAGTCACTCATGCCCTAGTCACCTCCCCCTTAGACTACTGCAATTCGCTCTACATAAGGTTGCCCTTGAAGAGTATCCAGAAGCTTCAGCTGGTACAAAATGCAGCAATGCAGGCAGTTATGTGTGTTTCTTGAACAACACACATTATACCTCTGCTCCATGAGCTGTGCTGGTTATCTGTCTGTTTCAGGTCCAATTCAAAATGCTGGTTATTTGAGGGACTGCCTCTCCCCAATTACAGCTGCTCATCCTGCCAGATTCAACAGAAGGGGCATGCTATGGGTTCTGTTGACTAGGGAGCTACATTTAGTAGGACCTAGACAGTGGGCCTTTTCTGTCATGGTGCCTGCTTTATGGAACATCCTTCCCCAAAGTGAGATTGGCTCTATCCCTCTTGATTTTCCAGAAGTCCCTCAAAACCTGGTTATACCATCAGGCCTGGGGATCCCAGGATACTGGTGAGATATGAGGGGGTTCCACTGTTATTATCATCTGCTCTTTGCCTAATATTTGTTTTTTAGTTTTCTATATTTTATAGTTTTTAAGTTTTTAATAACAACAGCAATAACTGTTTGGTATTTATTAATTATTTTTAGCCTTGTTGTATGCTGCCCAGAGTCACTTGTTTGTGAGATGGGCAGCCACATAAATTTGATGAGTAAATAAATAAATATCTAGTAAACTTAAGATAAAATGATTAAATTTAATCTCATTTGCAACCAGGTTGGAACCCAAACAGGGATAAACACCATGCATTAGAATATCTCACTGCTCAAAGTATTGTGGGGCATGCAACAATACAATTAATTAGCAATTAAGTAATAGATACCATTCCATGGTCACAAGACACTTTTCCCTGTATTATTATTTTTTTGTGAAAAATAAAAAGTAAATAAAACAGTGCTTCTTTGTTTTAATCTTTGTAAGCCCTCCAGAGTCACTTGTGTGAAATGGGCAATTATATAAATCATATACAGTACTGTGCAAAAGTTTTAGGCAGGTGTGAAAAAATGTTGTAAAGTAAGAATGCTTTCAAAACTATATACAGTGGTACCTCGAGTTACGAACGCCTCTGCTTATGAATTTTTCATGTTACGACCAGCTCCGGCCCCAAAAATTTACCTCATGTTGCAAACCACCTCGAGTTACGAACCGGATTTGCAGCCATTTTCCCTCCCGTGACACGTGGTCCGCAGCCATTTTTCCGCCCCTGACATGTGGTCCGCAGCCATTTTTCCGCCCCTGACTCTCCCTCCAAGCAATAGCCGCCTATTGCTCCTGTCTGTGCTCCTGCACTCTGAAGATGCCAGTCACAGGTGCTGGTGAAACATTAGGAAACAAAACTTCCAGAACACGG